TTAGCAGGTTTCTGATTGTAGCAAAATACTTTTTTCTTCATTTGCTCACTTATAATATCAATTACGTCTCAACAAACAACTTTTTAGTGCAACATTATGCCAGCATTAGTTCAATGTGCTCAAGATTCTTAGTTTCTATTGTTTTTAATAATATAGTATGCCATTCTAAATACACCTTCAGTTGTTTAAAAGTATGCTTCTTTTCATAAGAGGCCAAGGCTGCAGAAAAAAACTGATTATTGAGGCATCTATGATAAAAAATTCCTCAGTATACTAAATGGTTGTTGAGGCTATGAAAATGAACAACTTGTTGCTAACGTAAAGTAAAATTAGTAACTTGTAATGACGCATAATCTTTATCGCTGCCAGGCGGATTGTCAACAGATAACAATAAAATTGTATTCTTAATTGTAATACCAATTGTAATTTTTCCTCGCAGAGTTTTTTATTAAACCAAAAATAAAAATAGTTGTTTAACCTCAATGAAAATCACCGCGTAAAAACAATCATCTACTTTATAAATAAAATAAAGTAAGCGCTGCGTAATGGACCATCCCATTTAAAAAAAATCTCAAAAACTCTTAATTTTTTTGCAACCGCAAAAAAAATAGAATAAATAAAGATTAGCGAAACAATTTCGTAATTTATTGGCTAAGGAAGAATGGCAATCCCCTGCGTTCTCTCCTACTTTAAATCACAAGAAAAGGTTGTAAAACCAGAACAAACGTACACTGGAAGAGTACGGCTTTAAAAAAGTACTAAAAAAATGGTATCTATCAAATCTACATTCAACAAGTAGTCCAGGTATAGCTTAATAGCTTTATTTTCTTGTTCATAACCGTATATTTATTGTTACAGTCTTTTTCCTAGAGGTTTTACAAACAAAAAAGTTCCTGTATTCGTTTTTTATGACACTTCTCTCAACGAAGAGAAAATCAACAGAGATTAGCTTATCTGGAATAAAGCCGCCAAACTTTCGTTATTCTCCTCTTTTCCTTTTTAGTCAAAAGCATAATTTTGGCCGAAAATCATATTTTGAAACCTTGGAAAATTAGACTGATATTGACTGAAAACTTGAAAAGTCGCTAAAAACAAAGCAATTGAGTGGCGTGAAATTCTACGCTGTGTCTTGGACGTCATTCTCCATTTAGCTTTTAAAAATCTTACTTATTTTATGAGTATAAACTGCTTACAGTTTATACTCATAAAATAATTTTACTGCTTGGATTATTAATCTAGATGTAAAGTATATTTCAATAATAAGTTCATATTTGTGTAGGTTTACCAAACATGCTCGGAGAGGAAAATAATGGTAATTTTTTAGCCACTTTTAAACTTTCAAGGAAGTACAATAAGACACTCTAAATTACAATTAGACGAGGTTTCTGGACGCCAAAAATAAAGAAAAAGTATGCAAGCGACATATTTGAGCTAGAGAACTCAAAATAAGTTTATTACGGCATGTGGGGAAATGATGTTTGCTTCTATTATTGATGAAGTTTACACAACCGATTGTTTTTCCATTATTATTGATTGAACCATGGATGTGTCTTATATTAAATCACCTTTGTTCTTCGATTCGTCCACCTTAGCTTTTACAAGTAACGAATAATAAAGGAGCGTTTTCTGAGGGTAGAAAATCGGGAAAAAAAGAAGGTGCTGACATTGCTGGTTATGAACGTTTTGAATCAAAGCAAAATTGAGTTAAAAAACTGTAGAGTCCAGGGCTTTGGTAACGAGATTAACATGTCTAGTATATATAAAGGAGTGCAGGTCATTATTTTTGAAAACAATCATCAAGCTCTGTATATGTCTTGCAGTGCCCATAGCCTCAATATAGCTGGCGTTCATTCTGCAGAATCCTATACTGTAGTTGAGAACTATTTTGGCAACATCAATTCTATTGAGAATTGAAAACCAACTTATTTAGTAGTAGTAGTAGTAGTAGTAGTAGTAGTAGTACAAGTACTTAGTAGTAAAAGTAGTTGCCCTATGCGCTGGAAAATTTGACTTTCCTTTTATCAAACATTTCTAGAAAGATAAAGTGCGCGCATAGAGGCTGTGCAGCCATTGTCAAAATGACCTTAAGAAGTACTAAAATTGTTGCAACTTCTTCAAAAACTTGATCATCAGTTAAGTTTAATCATTTGAGTTTATTTTCCTGCTCTCTTTCTGGTTTAACGCTCTCCTATATGTCAACGATTTCAGCCTCTTTTTCCAGTCAGAAAGCATTTCTTTTGACGACGAGACAAAATATTTAAAGCTAATCTATAGTTAATTGATGATCTTGACTACGTTCTTTAAGTCCCCAAGTCATTAAAGATGCAAAATTGATTGCATCTGAGCTAGCTTTGATTGGGTAACAAACAATTGTTACTCAAACAAAGCAAACAAAATAAGCATGAGTTTCACTATTTATTGTCATCACGACAATAAACAGTGAAACTCACGCCTAATTCATTATACACAGGAAGCCAAAATTTGGGGCACCTATAAAAAATTAACCCCAGGCACTACAAAGACTGTGCGTTCTTGCGTGGTGCAGTGGTTTGAGTGCTGAAGTCGAACTCAAAATGTTTCCACTCTGGCCATTAAATTTGCAAAGGTATGAAGGATGGTGCGAAGTTCTATAAAACAATATAAATTTTTTATCCACCGATTTGGCTGAGCGATTTTGTCCCAAGTTATGCAATTGCGTCCGCAGCTTGTTTCCCATGCTTGAAACTATTTCTTGTAACTTGTTGTATTATATGTATAATATTACTATTATAATCTCATTGTTAGTTTATAAATAATTTTTCAATACAGAAAATTCAGCTCATGTTTGAGACCTTGTTATTGATCAAAATTGTTTATATTAAAGTTATTTAACATGTTTAACAACTGGTTCAATAACGAAAGTGTTAAAGATTTTGTAACATTCGTTATTGAGCTGCTTGAGATACGTATAAACATATTTATATTAGTAATATTATATTATGTAGCAAAAACTCGATGAAAAAGATGCCAAGTTACATTCGAGAGTTAATAAGAGTTATCTAAATTTGTTGAATGCTTACATTATTTGCCTACAGTCTATAGGTAAGTTTAAATGTATTATTTACAAATAATGATTTTGTATAATAAGAAAGTAATTTTATTGAGCCAATTTGTACTTTTAAAGAGAATGCTTCTTTTGTTATTCCAAAGTAACATTTAATATAGTATCTATATTTGAATTTAATGCAAAATAATAAAATATGGTCATATGTTACATGAAACATGACCATGTTTTAATATGGACAATTTAATTATAAAAAGATATGAAAATATTTTATTATGAGATTTCTATGCTCTAAATATTAGAATAAATAAATATAGTTATTTGTTTTTTTGATATCTTATTTGAATTGTAGTTAACATACAGAATAATTTGTTACAATATGTTACTCAAAGAGTTCAGTTCTAACTCAATCCAATCCAATATGCCAAAAACTTTCATCATGCAACCCAATATTTTACTTGCAATACTTATTGCGGAAATCACTTGATTCTTCCATTTGAGATTTTTCGTACACCTTTTACGTACAGTATTTGCCATTAACAACAATCCATCATGTTATTTTAGCATGAATATAAGTTTGAAATTAAAAACTTTATAAACTAAAAGTGATTTTTTTCTTTTTTTTTTTTTTTTCATTAAAATAAATCAAATAAGTACAATATAAATTTTTTATTATTGAAATAAATCAAATCATTACAATATAAATTTTTTATAAAATAATGAAAATTGAAAAAATTAAAAACTGAAATATTGGAATTAAAACAAGTGTTTATTTCTATCAAAAAAAAAAAAAAAAAAAAGTGTCCAAAATAAACAAGCCACAAAAATACAATTAACAAACTCTAATAGTAATATATACAAAACATAAAAAAAAAAAATTATTTTTTTTACAATTCTTTTGCTTTTAAGCATTGATCAATATGTTTTGGCATGGAATTCACTAAATTCTGAGTAATCTCTTTTGAACCACTTTTATGTAGTATTGTTACTAATTCTTTCAGCTTGTCCAGATTTTTTATTTTAATTTTACTGAGATTGTAGTTTAACCCAGACCACAAATTCTTTATGTAATTGAGATCTGAACTGTTGTTAAAGTTAGCAGGCCAAGTTTTCAATGTTGTTTTTTTCAAACAATTGCTCTCAAATCTTAGAAGTATGGAGCATTATCTTTTCGGAAGATTCTCATGTCTTTGGGAAAAATGTCAATAAAAGGCATTAAATAATTATCCAATATGTTTGAATATCTTTGATAATCAAGCCTTTCATAAAATTTTTAGAAACAATCAACACCTTCAGTGCTTTTTTGCAAGCAGCTCGCCACATCAGGGTTTCCACTCCTCCTTAAAAACCTTTAATATCCTTCAAATATAAAACCCTCCTTAAATGTCCTTAAATAACCTTTAAAAAAGTTAAAATTTGACTGCTCTCCTTAATTTCTCCTTATTATTATTATTTTTTTTATCATCTAGAAAATTTTTTCAAAGTAATTGGATTATACTTGTTAATAAAGAAGATAATATTATCGATTTTTGATAGTTTTCAAACCTATTTTTGTTATTATATACAGGGCTTGAAATAAGTGATCGCTAGTTGCGATATCTGGAAATGCTTACGGTCTTTAAAATTTTAGCTTTTTAAAAACTGTAAAACTGTTTTGATCACTAAACTCAATAGATATCATTAAATAAAAAATATTTACGTCGATTATTATATAAAATCCTAATGTAAAACCATATTATCACTATTATTTTTATTATTATTATTAAAGATTATAGTTTAAACTTTAATATTTAAATTTATTTTATTAAACATCAGATAAAACTAGAAAAATAAAGCACAATAAAGTACGATATAAATATTAAAAAACAAGCGCTAATCACAACAATCTAAAGGACTTTAACAGTGATCGAATATTTGAAATAAAAGAAATTGTTAAATTAGATATAAAATACTTTTATATCTTATTTAAATCTCATTTAATATTTTTTTATAAATTTAACGCTTGTAACACTTTAGCTGATATGAATATAAAATTAAAAGACGGAGGAGTTAATATATAAAAACTAATTTAAACTTTTTAATAGCTACTTTAAAAGAAAAAAAAAAAGAAACTCTAATAACATATTTAAAAAAAATATATACTTTATAATTTTTTTTCTTATTAAATAATTAAATTCTTTAATTTAAAACATTTAAATTTTTAAATATTTCCATAAACTTTTCCCCTAAATAAAAATCTGTTTTAATGTTTTATATAATGCGCAAGTAGCTTTAGCATAGTTTTTCATTGGTTGATTTTTAAATTACTACGAAAGTTTTTTGGACCTTCAGTAATAATAATTTTTGTCTTGCAACTTTTTTTTATTTATAATCCTTAAATTACATATTGTTAATTATTGTTTAAAAAAACAATAACTTATAATATGTAAATTTTGACTGTTATTATTTTTGCAGTAGTAAATTTATTGTTTTTCTTTTTCATTAATTTTTGCAATATGATAAACTGACCGTTTCATTAAAACAGTGTTTACGGTTTTTAAAAAAACTAAGAATTTAATGACCACAGATATTTCCGGATATTGCAATTCGCAATCACTTTATTGGAGCCCTGGTATATGCTTGAAATGCTGAGTCTTCTACAACTTGGAAAATTTTGAATTGTGTTGTATCAATAATTTTCCCAGTCAATTTGATTATTTTATTGCTGAAGTATTGTAGCTAATTAGCAGCGCTCAAAATAGCAGCCAATCAACGATCAAAGATTGTCTACTTTTGGAAAAATTGACATTTTGATCGCTTAAAATTATATCTGGACGATCAAATTTAATCGGCAGAATTTGCTAGTCAAATTTTTGTAATAATCATACAAAAAAATTTTAAATACAAAAAGTTAAAATTTAATTAGCATCAAAACTATTTTGAAATAAAATAGAATTCTAAATAAAATAATGTAAGTAAAAACGACAAAACAAACAACATTTAAATTCTGAATAAAATAATTTAAAAAAAACAGCAAAGTTTTATTATTTGCCATTTTTATTTTATTCTAAATAAAATAAAAATGGCAAAGCAAACCATTTGTTTATTTTCTATAATAAAATAAAATCAAATTAGGACATCAGAAATTAATTTATATTTTAAATAAAATAATTAGGATAAAAATGGAAAAGCAAATATATTTATATTCTAAACAAAAAAACAATATAAAAAAAAAAACAAATGGCCTCAGTTGTATTTTTATTTTCTATAATAAAATCAAATCAAATCGAGACATCAAAAATTAATTTATATTTTAAATAAAATAGTTAGGATAAAAATGGAAAAACAAACATTTACATTCTAAATAAAATATATATAAAAAAAAACAAACAGCAAAGTTTTATTTTGATTCAAAATAAAATAATAAAAATAAAAATAGCAAAACAAAAATTGTTATTAATGGCCAATACTGTATGTATTTTGTTGGGTTGTCAAATAATTGTTGTTTCAATTTTTTCTCTTATAATAGATTCTAATATTTTGCAGAGAACAGATGTTAATGAGACAGACAAATAGTTGCTGGCAATAGTTTTGTCACCTTTTTTATAAATTGGTGTTATGTTTGCTGACTTGATTTGATTTTGAAGTTGACTGGTCCTGAGTGCTGCTCTAAAGATAAGAGTTAATGGTAAAGCAAACAGTGTAGCACAATTTTTGAGGATTGTTGAACAAAGTTTGTCAGCTCCAAATAATCTATTTTCTTTTTGGTAATTTAAGTTTTGATAGAACTCAAAGCTTTTGATGGAACTCAAAGCTTATATCATCAGGTTTGATGTCTTCAAATTTGATTACATCATTTAGTTTAAGGTTAAAAGGCGAGAGATCTCCTTTTTTTTTAATAGTAAAGACATCTTAAAAATGTTTATTGAAATGATTTAGAATTTCTATTGGTTCATTGAATAAATCTCTGTATCTTAAAATTTTTCTCTTTATTAATTGGTTGATATCATTGTTAATCCAAGGGACTGTTGAACTTTTAGTTTATTTATTCTATAGTTAGAATAAATAAGTTACATACCTCAGTTGTATAGTAAATTAACTCACTGTACATCTTCTGCACAGACTTTACTCCATATAACTTCACCCAATCAATTTTAGATGTATAATCAGAAATTTTACTAAATTCAGCTTTGCTATATACATAGATGAGTTTTTTCCTGGAATTCCTGGAATTCAGGAAATTCACTTAAAACTCCTTTAGTTTTCCAAAAATTTCCAGATGTTTTTTGTTATTAATATTTTTACATAAAATTTTAAAAACGACAACTTTTGCATTTAAACAAATATATTTTCTATAGTTAAAATTTTCACGAGATCAATTTTCGTAACAATTTTTTTTCTTTTTTTGCTTTTTGCTTTTTAATTTATTCAAATTAACTTTTTCAAATATTAGAAGTTCCTTTTTGTAAAAAGTTAAATAATCTAAATTCCGTTTTAAAGGTTTATGAAAGTTTTTGTTTTCAATTAATACGATCAATTTTTAATAAAATAATTTTCTGGGACTTTCCGGGATTTTCAAAAAAAAAAATTTCCGGGATTTTCATAAAATCAAATACTCATCTATGTATATAGAAACTTGTAATTACTATGAGCTCATCTGCTGACATCATTTTTTTAATTCAAAATAAAAAAAAGTCTATGACTTTTAGTTATGTTACCAAACACAAGATGTGCATCAACATTATATACACTACCAGATTCTATTGTGAGTATTAAGTCTAGTATATTTGAGGTAAAACCATTAGCCAATTGAAAAGTTGGTATGTTTATATGTTGATTAAAAAAATATCATTCTAAGTCTTAAAGAATTTATGTTCAATCCCACATTGGAAAAAGATATTATACTACCATCGAACCATTTAATGGCTGCAAAATTAAAATCATCCATTATTAATACATCTTTGAAACCTTTACTTTCAACATGATTTTTAGCTAGCTTAAAAACATATCAACCATATCAACAACATAATTTGGTCTGTAAAGATTACCAACTAGGTAC